TACTTTGAAAGATTGTTTCTTAAGGCTGATTATTTGCTTAATACCTCTCCACGTTTCTTTGATGTTGTGATTGTAGGATTTGAAATAATTAGTATAATATTGTTTTTTACTAATGAGTAACAAATGCTTCAACTTATTTCTATAATGTCTGAATTTAAATAAATAGTAATAATTTCTAAATTTTAAATATTTTTTATAAATCTTATTCTTTTCGGCAATGGAAACTCTAATACCTTTTGTTACCCAAGGCTTTGCATGTAATTTATACTCTCTTTTGGAAAGTTTCTTTAGTGGAGCATATTTATCTATAACTTCATTAATCTTTGTATGAAATATCTCAAAAATTGAGTTAATATCTTGTGCATATGCAAATGTCTCGTCCCAATAGCCGAATTCATATTAGGGACGGGAAACTCGTCTGCGAAAACCCGTCTGAGTATGAATTTAGGGACGGGTAAATTCGAATTTAGGACGAGTTTCCCGTCTAGACGAGATTCCCGTCTAACTTTCCCGTCTGTTTAGACGGGTAAGTTAGACGGGAAAGTTCAGACGGGAAACTCGTCTGCGCCCGGATTCATATTAGACGAGTTTCCCGTCTGAGACGAGTTTCCCGTCTAAGACGAGTTTCCCGTCCCTAATATGAATTCGGCTAATCAATACTGTGAACTTCAGCAACCAAACCTTCTTCATTCATTTGAGAATAATTTCTTTTGTAAGTGGCACCATGGTACTGTATGTGGAGCACGAGAGATCATTAATAATCAAAAAATTTGGAAGATGATCAGTCAAATCTCACAGCAAATTGCCACTGGAAACCTCGTGTTCAAGGGAATTGAAAAATATGTTATCAATCAGTGTAGCAGAATGGTCAGTAAATCTGGTAGGTTTGATTATATGTGGTTGAAAACAATAAGAAGCCAATGTGTTTATGAAGTCACCTGTTGGATTGTGAGATTCAAAATTTAACAGATTCAAATAATAGTCACAAGCCAATAAACAAAGTTTCGATTCATTAGAGATTATATCAATAGCTGCATAGAGATAGTCAGTGAACTTGTCTTTAAGATGCCATTTGGATGCCTATAAATCACAGCACATACCATGTTACAGGTTATACGATGAATTTCTATCCATAAACATTCATACTCATCCGTCGTAACACTTAAGTCATCCCTTAGATGGAATTCTATATCATCTCTGATATATAACCCCACTCCACCAGCTTCATGAACTGTTGGCTGGGAAAAAATGTATAACCTGGGATGGCAGATTAATCAATTGATCTCTATCTACTTTGATCCTAGTTTCAGATAAGCCTAATATGCTAAAATTATGTTGCAAGTCAGCCAACAATGTTATCATATCATAATTAGCTGAAAGGCTTCGAATATTACAGTGAATAATAGAAAAAGGATTTTTAGAAATTGCATTTCTAACAAAGACATCACTATGAAATTCATGAGGGGTAAAGTAATCAAAATTTATGTTATCAAATATGTTTATACTGTCTACATCAGACTCAGCAAAATTTGGTACATTGTTCAGAAAAGAGGCAGTCTCAAATCTAGGTAAATTAGCAAAAGAGTCATTTGCATATCTTTGCGAGCAAAGACTGCCACAATTAGTGGCTGAATCAATACTGTTGTCAACTATGCTTATCTCTTGAGTTCTTCCAGATCAGCTTGACAATAGATAATCTTAGATGGAGAATCTTTATCTCGTCTCAGGTAAACCCGTCCTTGATTAGTCCAGATATACATAAATCGATAATCACGTCTGAATTTCAGACACTCTTTGAACAACGCCCTATTCTTTGCCGTCAAACTTTCGGAGATATAGATATTATTATTCCATATTCTGCCAAGATTAACATTGCAATTAATTTTTAATTCCTTGGTTCAGCCATATTTCAATTACTGTTGCACAGTTTGGGACAATTGCAACAAAACCCTAGCTGAAAAACTTCAAAAACTACAAAATCGTGCAGCGAGAGTACTAACATTCTCCAGTTATGACACTAATGCTGATGGTTTAATTGAGAAACTTGGCTGGAAAAAATTATCATCCCAGCGCCAGTTTCAAAAAGCTGTCATGGTCTATAAATCATTAAAATGGTCTTGCTCCTGATTACATGCATTCCATGTTTGTAAACCGTGACAGTGTTAATCCTTATTCGCTGAAAAACACTGAGAACAAACTAGCTGTTCCCAAGCCCCGCACAAACTATCTCAAGAATAGCTTTAGCTATAGTGGTGCGGTGCTGTGGAACAGTCTTCCGATTGGGCTACGGCAAGCAAATAACTTGATAAATTTCCGATCGGGCTGTGCCAAATTATTTTAACTTTCCTTGTATATATTGTTATATTAGCTTAGTACACGGCCCTCATGAAAAGCAGGTATTATATTTTCTATTTACTTTAGCGTGGTTCTACTTTTGTAATTTATCTAATGCATGTTGCATGATAAATCCTGATGAGAATACCGTGTGTAAATAAAGTTTTAATAAATAATAAAATAATAATAACAAGATATAGTCTCCGATCAAAAAACACTATGTTATTAAGCGTTCCGTCAGGGAAATCACTAAAGACTTTAGGCGATAGAGCATTTTGCATGGCAGCTCCTGCACTGTGGAACACGTTGCCATATCATATTAGAAGTTGCTCATCCTTAAATATTTTTAAACAGTCTATTAAGACATTTTTATTCCGTCAAGCTTTTGAATAGTTGTTTATTTTATATAGATCGATATTTGATATGTAACATATTTAGATATACTATCATTTTTTTAAACTTTGTAATGCGCATTTGAAAATTGCAAGATTGATAATTGCGCAATATAAATCAATAAATTATTATTATTAATTATTATTATCATTATTATCAAATTTTCTCAACAACTAAACGCGACAAACCGGCCAAAAATATGAAATTGAATATTCCGTAAGTATACCATATAGATATAAGTAATAAAAATTTTGGTTGCCAATGTCCTGTAATTGTGTGTGTTCATAATTTTGTCCCTTTTGGACGCCCATATTTAGGGCTGTAGACATTCCAAAATGTTACAAGCAAGTAATAAAATCGCCGGAGGCTAACAAGTGTCAAAATGCCATGGATGCAGAGGTAAGTGCACTAAACGATAACAATAGTCAATACGTTTGAGTTAGTCCCAGTGAGGGTCCCACCACCAAAGGATCGACAGATAGTGGGGGGGAAGATGGATTTACGCCGTAAAAATTGGCCAAAATGGGAAAGAAACCCATAAAGCAAGATATGTAGCAAAAGGGTATTCTCAAATTCCTGAGATTGATTATTAGGGAACGTTTGCCCCGACAGTTCGCATGAGCTCAATTCGTACATTGCTACAATGTGTTGCGCATGCAGAATGACATGATCATTCACCAAATGGATGTCAAGACCGCCTACCTTAATGCGCCTATAGATTGTGAGCTTTATATGGAACAACCAGAAGGTTTCGAAGAATATGGTGAGAATGGTGAAAAATTAGTGTGTAAATTAAATAAGTCATTATATGCATGGTTTAAAGCAAAGTGGGAGAAACTGGAATAATTTATTGCACGAGTATCTGCAAAAGGAGGGTTTTACTCAGTCACAGGCTGATCCATGTGTGTATGTGAGAACGATTGACTCGAAGCGATGTGTTAGTAGTAATTGTATGGGTTCATACTTCATTTACGATACGGGCCGTATCGTAAATGAAGTAAGATAGTGTGCTCCAAAACTACGATTATTTCTATTCCTAAAAGTAACTCAGATTTCCTGTAAGTCATGTACACAGTCCTTTGAATAACCGAAAACAATATTTTTAGGGTTTTAGATCGATTAGAAACGGTTGTCGTCGTGAAATTTATCTGTAAAATCAGCGCATATTTTCCCAGAAAAATGGCGATTTAGGGTGGTCGTGTTAAAACGGCATTTTCTCAAAGTTAAAAAAGCATTTGACCTAAAAAAATATATGGTGCATTTTCCGATATAATAAGGTATATCTGGGCAAAATTTGAGCAAAATCGATTTTTCAGTCGTGGCCGCTTTATGTTTGATTTTTGTGGACATCCTCTCTTAACCTGAACGGAAACCATGTTTCCGGATAGGTATATGCTCGAAATCCTAATCAAAGCATCCAGGTAGAAGTGTTCGTCACGCTCCTCCATCGGATTCACGTCCTCGTCCTCCCCATACATCACCGTGCCCTTATCAATCTTTACATACAAGACAGGCTGCTTCCCACCCCGATAGAAGCACCTTATCGCATTGGTACCCGGCTTATCAACCATTACAGCACACTTCTTCTCGAATTCCAGAGCTGATATGAATTCCGTGTGTAGTCCAACTGCCAACGGAATTGTATAGTTGTCCTTTCCGAACTTATTGTTCCTCTTGATTCCATAGGCTAGGCAATTCTTCAGCCTAAGTAGCAGTGGACCACCACCATCCGCAACAAGCCCGATCCTCTCAGATCCAAACCTGTCCTTGACAGGGTCCACAAACTTAAACTAGTCCTCGAAGAAGCCTGATACTCTGGTAATTGACATGGTTATTTATTATACAATTCTAATTGCTTATCAGTTGATTCTGTAAAAAAAAAAAATGATTTCCGAAAAAAAAAATCTCCACCAAAACTCCAACAAGCATGCGGTACGCGGTGGGTGCGGCGGATGCGGTGGGCCTGCGGAGGATGTGGCGGACGTCGGTAAAATTCATCGGGTCAACACCCACGGGAATTTCCGACAAAATTGTCAGAGCATGTGTGTGCGTACTTGCGTGTTCGTGACCGCGGATGCGCGAGGACGGGGAAGGTGACCGGCAGGCAGAGGACCCCTAGGGCGGCGCGGGGAATTGGGCAACCGGAAATGACGTCATCGATTCTATTCCGGGAGTTCCGACTTCCAGGAATCCCATTGCGGGCGTGCCCACACTTGCCTGGATCCACTATAATTTGCCTTACATGAAGTACTAATAAAGAATTAAAGTGCACGATGGAACTGAGAGACAAAAAGCTGAGAATTTTTCGCCTCTCACGTAACGCGGAAGATTGGGTCGTCTATAGGCAACTTAGGAATTCTATAAAAACATCTTTAAGAGCAGCAGAGTCCAACTTTGTCCGGAATCAAATTGAGGAATATAAAGGTAATTCAAGATCTATGTGGAAAGTGATTAGGGGGTGTCTGCCAAGCAAAGATTCAGAAAAACCCGTTTACCAGAAAGACCACAAAAAATTAGCCAATGAATTTAATGAATATTTTGCTTCTGTGGGGAAGATTGCAGCCGACAAGGTCAAGAGACTTGCGGAAGTTAACAACATTCAGATTTACTGCTTTACCACCTGCAAGACACCGATCTTCTCTTGATCTGTTTGAATTTAGAACAGTCACACCTGATGAAGTTAGAACAATTATTTTAAATAGTCCATCAAACAAAGCTCCAGGTGCCGATAAGATAAATATTCAATTCATTAAAGATTCACTTGAAGTGATTTTAGATCCTGTTACGGATATTATCAACTGTTCCTTGATGACGTCAACATATCCTTCAATGTGGAAGATAGCAGAAGTGGTACCGCTACACAAGGAAGGGGATCCTGAAATTGCTTCAAATAATCGACCGATTTCACTGCTGTCATGTTTGT